TGTTAACCTCCGTGATGCGAACACGTGAGGCCGCCCTGTGATTCAGTGCTCGCTCAGCTGAGGTCGTCGTGAATCAAACCGCCGTGAAAAACGACTTTGTCTGTCAGCCCCGAGCTTCAGTCCAGGAGATTCACGACTCAGCATAAACGATAAATCCAACAAATCACCGCGTGGCCTCTGAGTGTGGAGGACACAACGCAGCTCCTCCACCCAGAGGAGCCCATCAGACGAAGGCTCCACCTGCAGCTGCTCCTGAGGTTATTTTGGATCCGTCAAAGCAGCTCTCTGCCTGAAAGAAGCTCAGTTAGCTCCTCCTCCTTCAAGGAAGCTGTCTTCTGATTGGCTGCCCCCCACAAACAGAAGGTAAGAACAGCACAGAGCTTAGAGAGTTTGTCTCAGTACAAATGTAACCTCAGTAATTGAAATTTGGACCATGTTTGATGTGAGCATCCACCCCTGGAACAGCACACGCATGACTGGAAATAAGGAAAAGTGTGGAAGTCCACTTTATGGACAACAATTTCCGTGAGGAGAGTTTCATAAGAGTCCTTCTTTGACGTTCACGGGATAATAAAGAGCTTCCCACTGGCTGCAGAGCGAGCATCACCGCTCTGCATCAGCCCTTCGCTGCAGCGCAGAGATGGCGAGAGGGAGGAAACCAGTAAATTATTCATCCCAGAGAGGAAAGAAGGTGAAGAGGGAGGGAACCCAAAGAAGGAAAGACCAATGTCTTCTCAGACCAGTGCCACATAAAACCATCCAGTCTCCTCACTGGGTCCCCGGCTCTGCGTGCAGCCGCACGGCGAGGACGTAACCCCGCAGAGTGACTGGATGGAGTAATTAAGCTGAGATGCAACCACCTCCAGGGTGTTCCTCCACTGTGGGCCTCTAACCCTAACCCACGCTTCAAGGTTTGATGTGTTGCATGTTCAGAGATGCTCCTCAGCATGGATGTAACATCTAAATATTTGAGTTAGAGATTCATCTCAGTGAGACTTTACCTGGATAAATAAAGGATACCAACAGGCTCGGGGTGATTGCTGCTCGCTGGGTATTTCCCCCTTTTTTCAGGGGGCTGTTAGAGATGGTTGTGGGAACGTCCCAGTGAGAGCTTCAGCAGGTCGTCTTGACCATGCCCTTATACCCAAACGCACAGCCATGTGACCAGCTGAGTAGATATTTGTGTTAACGAGCAGTTGGACACATATACCAAAAAAGTGTATATGTGGTATAAACACACCTGACATCTGCCATATAAGGGGGATCTGTGGCACATTTGTGCCAGAATATCTGATTTTTCTGGCTGTAAACTCTTCTTCCTGTATTGTATTTGTTATTTACGGCCTGTGAAAGGAGAAACATGATAACATCACAGACGAAGCACTGAGTGGACTCGGCAGCAGAGAGTTCAGAGAGGCTGAAATGCTGAAACCTGACATGTAGCACTTATAAAATACAGGAAAAAGAAGAAAACCTGAGGAGACGAATAAAAATAACTGGAGGCTTTTCTTCCCGCTCAGAGACGAGCGTGATCGGAAGTCTGATGGCTCGGACTGAAAGGAAACGGCGAGCGTTACGAGTCAGTACCGTCTGACCCGGGTCGAAGCGATGAGGCGGTGCTGCTTTCACAAAACGAGTGGGACCATCCGCTGTCATGGCAACAGACAAAAATCGATGGAGCTCGGACAGATAAGAAACGAGTTCTTGTGTCTCTGAATTTAATCAGACGGCAAGAAAATCTGGTTCATTCTGGTTCTGGTCGGATTGTTTAAACAGGAGCGAGGTTCAGGCAGGCAGAGGAGGTGAAAGCTAAAAACAACTCTCTTCTTAAACAGATCTGCAGCTCTGACATCTGCAGGACTAAAAACCATCTGCTCAGTAAAAAAACAATTACTGCTGTCACGAACAATCCAGCGCTGCACGAGCTCATAATTCAGATTGTAAGACTAAAAAACAACAAACTGCCCCACAGTCCGCCCCGCTTCCTGCGCCGAACAACGTGAACCAATGTGACCGACTCAGTGATGTAACTTTACTTTATTATAACAGTACAGCTTTAATGTACTTTAATTATTAAAGTTATTAAGAGGAAGAATTATTAAGAAGAGCTCAGTGCATCATGGGAAGTCCTCGAGCAGCCTGAGCCTGTAGCAGCATAACCACAGAGATGCTTCAGGGTCACCTGATCCAGCCCGAACTAGCAAAAAGGAAAGTTTGAAGCCTAATCTTAAAAGTAGAGATAGTGTCTGTCTCCTGAATCCAAACTGGGAGCTGGTTCCACAGAAGAGGTGAAAAATGAAGGCTCTGCCTCCCATTCTACTTTTTAACCTGCAGTGTGAGAGCGAAGAGCTCTGATGAGGTCATGTGGTACTACGAGGTCTTTAAGGTAAGATGGGGCCTGATTATTTGGCATTTTGTCTTTTCCAGCATCTTTACAGTGGTCTATCAGGATATTGATCTATCTCCATCTATTTCTCACTTTGATGACAACAACCTCGTGAAAATCCTTAACCTGCACTCTTTCTAATGGCCAGCAGGGGGCGACTCTTCTGGCTGGAAAATGAAGGGCAAGCATTAAAAATGAAATGACCTGATTTCTCCCGTGATTTATGACCTCTGTGAACTCTGTCCACATGAGTTTATGATGCCATTCGTTAGTTTCAGATTTCATTTAAATCGTTTACAAATTCTGCTCCAAATGAGAGTGAAATAGACAAAAGGGAAGTCAAAGGAACACCTTTACCTGCAGAGATGACGGATAACAGCCTGAACACGCTCAGGCAGCAGCAGCAATGATACAGACAGAGGAAAGAAGCCGACCGCTGCCTCAGACCTCCATCACGGAGGAAGCATCCACCAATCGAACACCAGCTAACCACAACACACCTGAGTCGGGAGAGGCAGAAACACTGAAACGCTTCAGCCGTGATAACGACGAGGAGCTAAACGAGCTGTTAAATGGGACTAATGGAGCATTTCCCACTGACGCGCAAAACTCTCCCAGCGACCTGAACCTCGAGGGCGTATTTCAGAGGCCGGCGGCGGTGTTGGTTTGTTTCATCACGCGGGAAAAACACAGTGAGCGCAAACAGAAAGCGTCTGCACGGCCACGCGACGGAGAGGGAAGCTCATTGATCAATAATTAATGAAGCGAAGCCGACGCGAGTGCAGCACAGACCGCAGATCTGGGTCGAAGGAAAATAATGTGGAAACTTTCCAAGCTGTCGTGTTTCAATGTTTAAACAGCCGCGTGAAAGATTTGATTAGAGGATGATGATTGGCTGGAGGGAAACCCAGTAAACATATTTATGTTTTCACACCAGGAAGAAACTGAGTTAGATTAGTTACTTGTTTTAATAAGAAATCCATTACATCGTTACCTAAACATAAAACCTTTCAGTTTGAACTGAAATAAAAGCGAAACCTATGATTAACCTATGACTGTGGTCCAGGAGGCTCATTAAAGGCGCCTGTTCGCTGCAGTTTACACGTGTTTGAACAACAATAAGTCCTTAGATTAAAAACTCAAATCAAAGATGGCATCACAGAGGCTTTTCCTCCTGCAGCCGCTCCACAAACATCCAAATCTCCCAGCTGGCTCGAGCCACGGGGCCCAAATATAGAAGGCTGGATGATAAAAGACGAGCGAGGCTGTCGGGAGGAAAAATGGTCCAACGCCAAAATGAGTTCTCAAGGCGCTGCGGCTGTAACGGCGCTCAGAG